TTTGTTTATCCATTCACCGCTCAGCTCGTCCTCGCTCTGTCGTCAAGAGCAAGCACTGGTTAATGGTCATTATCACTGACCAGCATCTTCAAGTGGCCAAGAACCTGCTGGTGCAGGACGTGCACTACTTTGTGGCTCAGAGTTATGCATTAAAAGAAGGCTTTTCATGATGTACAAATCCCTGTTACTTACTTCGGTCAACTAAAATAATTGTTTACCATCCCAAGCGAAAATATTTAAACAACCAAGAAACCACCTGCCACAGGCTGTGTGTTGCATTTGCAATAGGCCAAGATTATTGATGGTTAGTTATATGGAAAGCAGACGGCTCATTAAGCAAAGCATTCTCAGTGTTGATGCAGCTCAACTCGACAGGTTTAGAGGAAATGTGGGTCTGATTCCAAATTGTAGATTGTGACTTATTCCAAAGAAGGACATATCACATACTGTCTAAAGAGGAGCAAAATAAACATTTCAGCTGTAGAAAAACCATATTGCACCAAACTAGTTCTAAATTATGGATAAGGCCCTTGACTTATCATGACTATGTTGTCCAGCTCTTCTGGGGAGATACCAAAGTTTCCCCAGTGTAAGCACAGAGATATGATTGGTCCATCATCCCCTCGGTGTTAATTAGACATCCTGGTCAGACGCCCACGTGAACTGGCATGTTTGGACTGGGAGGAGCAACACTAAAAGCTAGTCACCCTTTGGAGGAAGGTCACTTCTTGTATTTGTATTCTATGTATTTGTTTGTTTTGGCAAATCAACCAGTTAATCGAGAACATCTTCTTTCACCAGAACAGCACAGCGTCTGCAGAACTGCATAAATGAGCAGGATGTATAAAAAGTTTTCTTCGTCTTTGACAGCTACTGTTTAAATCAGATGCTAAAAATGCTCTGACGACAGTCTGAACAATAATGCAGGTGTAAGTGTGTGTTTCCCACAGCATTTGACTCTGTTTTGGCAGCAGTGGGTGTGGGAGGAGCAGGGCATTCCCATGCAGGTGTATCCAAGTGCCTGGATACATGTTTCCGTTCTTTACACTTGGAGAAACGGACGGACCCATCCATGTTCTGTTGTAGTCCTGATAAACTTGCCTTCTGCAGGCTCCGGTTAGAGTGGCCCTCCAGCGTACTACTGATCTCTGGAGCATAAAAGAATAGATTAAGCAGCTGCAGTCTAAGATGGTGCAATTGAATTGCATCCCAACACGGGAGGAGAATCTCCCTGGAGAGCCACAACAGAGATGGGTACACCAGCTGCTGGGGAAACACAAAACAGGGCAGGCCAGGGCCAGAATATGTGGTAGAATAAAGAGGCTGTCCACCAATAAATCAATCAAAGTCATTCCTTTGGATAGGCAAAAAAAAGTCAGCACTGATACCTGGGCCC